TGTTCGGGACCGGCTGCGGTTGAATTGTTCATTATGACCTAACCGTCCCAACACCTCACTTTTTAAAACGTATGAAGGTTTTTAGCTGTGAATTTACCTGCATTTGTGCAAGTAGTTTTGGGTTACAGCTGATCCATCGTCTTCGTGTGCATATGGATTTGGACTTGGGTTTTTCCGTTTGTTACAGGAGACATGTGTGGAGGGTACTCAAAAGTATCTAACAGTGTATCTGGTGGAATCGAATTATCTGATGTAGCTGGGGCAGCGTGTCCAGTGCGACGGACCTACATGGAAAAATGTACACCGACTTCCTAGATGAAGCTAACCATACGGTGCTTGATCTAACCATGAGTCTTGTTCAGATGGTCCTTAGCCAAAAACGAATCACCGGACTTACAGGTGCTATGAATAGCAACGTGATGGCGGTTGAACTGTAGCCTCATTTATGTATTCCTCTCTTGCATTTCCGTTGGATGATGGGTGTATCACAGCTATGGGTAAACTGAATTTTGCCCAAAAAGCGCTCCTGCGGATAAGTTTTTTGGCACATTTAGGTTAGGTATCGCACGGTAGCCATTTGCAACTTCGATTTGTAGATGGGGCACCAGCCGGATCTAGTCTAGTAAACAAGTGCTAACATTGAGTTTGGTGAACAGGTCTTCTGGGACTCGGAGATGATACTGATTTGAATTGAGTCCAGCATTGAAATCTTGGTCATCCTGTTAGTCCTCTCCACCACAACAATGGGAGCTACCCGCGAAGAGCAGTTGACAAGCTGGATAACACTTGAAGTCTGGAGACGATCAGGTTCAATGTCCACAGATGCAACAACCGCATAAGGTGCAGGGCGTTTTGATCTGAAGACAGATTTGCTATTTGGGATTTAGAACAATGCCCAAGACCATTTGAAAAATACCTGTGTGAGATGCACGCTGTCACACACAGACCGTAGAAGAACACAAAAGAGATTCAACTGATATATCCCGTCATGACCGAGCTCATTCAGGTCTGAGCAATATATAAGGTAGAAAATTCCTTTAAATCGCACATTATTGAAACACATTGAAACATTGCCGGAAACAGACTGCACAACGGTTGGTAACAGATCATAATTACTTCCCATCACATTCCATCATTATAATCATTATCAACAGCTGTAAAACGTCATACTTCATCATCATCATCATCGACAGCATGACATCAGTGTTCAACACCGATGCTTCACTGCCGTACTTGCCGTATAGTGGTTCCAGCTGCCACGGTTTCGTTCATCGATTGTTTGGAGAGGTTGAGTAGATAGCTGCGCATTGGAAACTGTAGCTGATATAATTGATGCGCAGATACAGGGTTTTCAGGGGACTTTTATTGGGGAGATCGAGAGTGAGTCTATGTAATGAAGGCAACAGTTTGGCTGCGCGAGCGCCATCGTGGGCGACTGGGACATGTCTGCAATGTCGCTAACCTCTGATGTGTACCGTAGTGACCATTTTAGCTGGGTTTGCTGGTACTGGCTTTCATACTTCGTTGTCAATTCACTGCTTTACCTCCCCTGGCTTGTTTCCACCCTTGGCGTGATTGTGCGAAAGGACCGCTTCGAGGAATTCGGTCGACTGGCATACGGAGCACGTGGCCAAGCCAGCGCAACCTATGGAGTGTGATAAGCCCATCTATCATGGATGAGTTTTTTCCCGCAGACCACCCGATGTACTTCAGCATTACTGATCTGGTGTTCCCACCAAGCGCGGGAAATATTCCGTAGATATTGGTGGTCACAGACGGTTTATGCAGAGTCGAATGTGGTGCTGTATGCACCACATGTAGCGTCTATGTGGACTTGAAGGATTAAGATCGGTGGGCGGACGTAAACAGGTCTGTCTGCAGCTGCCAGTCACCTTAAACATGGTTATATATATATATTTCATTCAGTCGATTGGAATCGACCTGCATGTATTTCTCAGGTTATTTTATTTGGGAGAGTTCCATAAAGCGCAACAACTAAGGTTCACCTCTAAGCGTTTCGGAAACTCCTCCGTTATCAAAGCCGATATCCCCATTAATAAACTTATGGATTTTTGGCCGACCTTACCACACCATGCGTTTTCGTTCATACCAGATAGTCAATGTGTCTCCGGCTACGACTACTTGCACGGAGTGTTCGTCAGCTCCTTAGACCAGTGAACAACACTGTTGCGATCGTGCGTATCCGATAATAACAATATCCGATAACACAATGTTTCTATCCTATTTCAGTCCTACTGTTGACCGTACAGTTGGATCTCCGCGTTTTCTTTCGATCGTCTCGTCTGGCTTTGCAATGGTATGGCTTTTTTAATTGACTGTCAGAGTAAGTCCCGATTTGTAATTATTAATGGGCTCGAACTCTGCTCAACATGTTTCAGTCCATCATCCATTTGTTCTTACCACTACTGCCAATTTAGCTATAACTGCTATTTATTCCATCGAACTCTCCCCAGTTTTATTGCAACGCACTCCGGCTTTCTTTGTAGACAGAATACAGGCCTGTCACTGTGTCGAAGGAATTTCAGAACGTCAGCCTATTCATGTTCTCCATACCTGTCCATTTTGTTGTATCCGAACTCAAAACAGCTGACTTGCTCATCAACCATGGCATTAAACCTTTATGTGAGAGTTGATCCGGTTTGACCTTCGGTATACACATACTTCATTATATGTCCCCGACTAAGGTTTGGTGTACATCTAATTAACCACTATCACCGAACACCAGAATTTTCCACGAGGCGAGGGCTTTTGCAGAATTTGGGTTTGTGGAGATAAACGCGTACTGTGGATTTTCGGGGAAAGTCGTGGAAGTAGGCAACACTAATACTGGGTATCGCAGGTAATTTTCGGTTGTCTTACATTTCGCCGATTAACGTAGGCATGCAGAACCTAAATGAGAAGAAAATCCGACAGCGTCAGCGGATAACTATCTTGTACCGTCCGGTACCGCAAAGTTGTGTCCTTTTTGATGCTGCATGGCTCAGTATATAAATGTACAAGCAGCCTGCTGTTTTGATTTGGGGTATGCCCTCCTTAGACTCTATTTAGTTTCCCGCATTGAATATGCCGTAGGATACATTTAAAACAAAAGTGCTCGTATCTTTATACCAGGTCCTAAAACAGGACCAAAGGACAGGTCCTTGTGTCCTTGAACTATATCGGTAATTTTGGGCATGGTTTTAGCGAAGGAGTATACAACACCTCTCACATTTTTGTGGGACTCTTTTTCCAACATTTAGTGAAATGGCACCCTTCCACTATGTACTTATACAGTTTCCCTTCCATCGAATGAATTTTGTTGGACCCGACTGTTCTCCACAGTTCTCCACTTGAGTCAATCAGCCGATATCTGTTGGGCTAGCACTATTTCGTAAGATGGTGTGTAGTTCATCAATTGCCACTAAATCATTTGGAAAGCACACCTGGAACTAGTGCCTTTGGACTCTGTTGTCCTGTTGTATCTACTCAAAAAATTGACCGTGAAAATTCTTGACAATCGATGTGTCAAATGCAAGGATGGCTCTAAACGCGTGACTTCAAACCACTGGCTGGGCAACAGAGATGCGGGGCGTCAGTGTCGCTAAGCCTCTTTGCGTAGTAGCCATGCAAGCAAGCAATTCGGGTTGACTGTATTGGTGCAAAACATTATCCGGCGCACAGTAGATGTGTTCGGCCGACGGCACGTTGATCGTATTGATACCGATTTAATACGATCTTGGTTAAGATATGATTGTTGATCAAAGGCCATCCCTATCCTTTACATCTTATTCACTTCACAGTGTTGGAATGATAGTCTTTGTTTTTAATGAGGACGGATCTTAGCCACTGCTATTTGCAGCAGTGTGCCTCACTAGCGTTCAGCTGTAGCGCCCTTCCGGTGCCTAGCTGCCATGCCACCCGAAGGAAGCACGAGGGCTGGGATACTGCCAGGTTGCCCAAGCCTAGACAGGGGAAGTCGAGTGGCGGAGGTCGGATTCGAACCACGGACCTTCCGGTCAGTAAATTTGCGCTCTAACCACTTGGGCCATCTCGCCCCCAGTGTGGAGGACAACTAATCCTCAACAATTCAGTCCTCAACAATCACACACAACAATGCAGTGTGTGGTTGTTGGTATCCACTTTCCGTGCTGCTTTGGTTAGCCGACAACAGTGCCTTGTTACTAAAGTTTGAAATCGTCTCCACTTTATACAACTGTTTATGATCGACCTGCTTGCAGTCCAGCGTATACCCAAGTTACCGTTTATATTCAGTCTATGGGTAACTTTAATTAGTGAAATAATCCTCAAACTTTGTCCTTAACTGTGAATTCTAGAAGCCCAGTTTTCATTGCACGCTTCACGGTGCAACGAAGGAACCTGTTTAGACGTCATCGATTCTGCCAATAGACATTAGATGATGGTTGATTAGCTTGACGTACGCTCCATTTAGCCTTGAACTTTAACGTCAAAACTAAATGATATCTATAAAGGTAACGTCAACTCTGGAGAATAGTTTTGGTGCCATCCTAAGCCAACCATCACAGCTCTACCTAATAAAATATGTTAAGCTTGACACGGACTCCTTTCGAGACATCAAGAAAACAGCAGCTGGCCTCACCGGCTTTTTAAACCGGGTGAAAAGCGACCATTAGATTATCCTTTTGCTGTTTTTATCTCACATTTTCATGTGATACCCAATCTAAACAGTGCATATTTTTCCATCCCCTAATACTTAGTTTCCTGGAGTTGCACTTGAACTAGGCGAAACTGACATTTGGGGCATTTGTACCAACAGTTAGAATCTTCTTTCTCGTCAGTCGCTCGTTTGTACTTGTTTTTTAACTGGTTATTGCCCTGCCCGTTTTCTCGTGCTAGAAAAGATCATTGATCTGCAAAAGCGCGTCACAGAAACTGGACGTAATGTAATCTCACGCACGCAACGATGGCGTCGCATGTCCACCATCCCCGCTACGGACTGCGATGTAGTCGTGACCTTTGGAAAGAAGAGTAAAGAGGAACACATCGAGTGGTTTATCAATCTTTTGCACGAGCGTGTTCCAGAACTGATGTCACAACGCCAATATCATCGTACCTCCGGACAGTCTGCGTTGTATTTATCCGCATGCTATAGAGAGTAAGTTGTCTGCCTTGTTCATCCATTTGGTAGTGTTGTCGACGTGAACCGTGTTAAAAACTACATCATATTTTCTATTCGCACGTAATGCAGTATACATTCAGTTCTCAACCTGATGTCCTTCGGCAGAAATCCTGTTTCCCCGCCTTTTATGTGGAACTGAAAAACAAATTGTTCAGCTGTAGTACTCTTGTGTAGTACTGCTCAGAGCTCAATCAGCCACAGTTTGCCGGTTTTCTATTTCACACCATAATCTTATGCGCGACTGTCGCCTTTCCTCGTTGCTTTTTCGACGTACTTTACAGGGAACGCGTGCGTTCTATTGCTGGTCATATTGTTAAGACTATGTTGTAAGCACGAGGACAGGATTTCAAGTAGCGACTTCAAGCAGTTATTTGTCAGAGTACACTATTAAGCTAACGTTCACTTAGAAATTTGTGTTTCATTAGTATGTTCTTTTGTTGAACACTTTCCTGTTTTCTGCTAAGGTTATAATCAGTGAGCTGCTATTGGCTAAATTGGCTGACAGCGTTTCGGATATGACAAGTGATTTGCTATTCTTCAGAGCTGAAACTTCCGCATTTATTATGAATTGTTAACCAGCATTTCAACCTTAAGCAGAAAGATACTATCATAAATCCAGAGTTGCAGCTTTTAACTTTGTGATCGATGAAATAATGAGACGAACGCTAGAGGGTCTCCAAAACCCTGGTGTTCAAATAGCCTGTGAAGAAAACCTTGTCGATCTGGAATATGCAGACGACATCGTTCTCATGTTCGAAGAGG